GCGCCAGTTGGTTGATCTGTCGACGCTGCCAATCAGGAAGCGTATCGAGATCGGCTGCCGTCAGATCGACTCCCTGATCTTCGTCCCAATTGTCTTGCGATTGCGATTCGATGTTGGCTTGATGGGGTGGATCGATTCGCAGCTCCGGCGTGCTCTGCTGAGAAAGCTCGCGCGGAGAATGTGTGGTGTTCGATTTTCGAGTGGTCGGCTTCATGGCGAATCAATGCAAACGGCGGCGGACAAATAGAGACCTCGGCCATCCTTTCGCATCGGCATGTTGTGCCTAAGAAGTTGAGTTTAACGCTTGTGTCGATTGAAATGCTGCCGGCTAGCAGTGCGAGCAACGCCTGCCAGCATGTCCGGCTGCCTGGGCCTATAAGCTTGAACCACCCGATAGAGAGCTTGCCCCTGCGGCCAATCCCCTGCCGTTTCCCACCGCGCACGAAAAAACGGAGGATCGAGATCCTCCGTTTGATCGTTGTTCAAATTTCGCGAGCGTGCAGGACGCTTAGCCTTTGGCTGCGTCGAGGGCTTGCTGCAGGTTGGCCTTCGGCTGGTTGCCGAGCATTTGATTCACGACTTCGCCATTCTTGAAGATCATGACGGTCGGGATGCTCTGGATACCGTACTTCACGGCCAGATTTGGGTTCTGATCGGTGTCGACTTTACCAACTTTGACCGAACCTTCGTATTCGGTGGCCAGTTGATCGATGACTGGAGCCAGCTGGCGGCAAGGACCGCACCAGGGAGCCCAAAAGTCGACCAGAACCGGTTCGCTCGACTGCAGGACTTCGGCATCAAAGTTGTCTTCGGTAAATGTGTTGGCCATTGAGGCTACTCCCGTTTAATTGAATGTTTGGGGTTCGATTTTTCGCTTGTGTCTCATGAGAGCAAGTCGAGCCCAGACGTCCAGCAAGCCGTTATTCCGAGCGTAAACCTATAGAATCGCGAATTCTAGCCAGGTTCACAACCCAGGGGGCATGCTTTTATTATGAGGAGTGACCGCGTCGGGACAACCTTCGGCGGCCCCTTCCTGCTGGGCTCTGATAGTTAGGATGCCAACAGTGGCCCCGCGTTACAGAAGGGTTTCCTCGGTTTCCCGAATCGCCCAAACAACTGCCTCCAGCCCCCAATGGAAGCCCCTCGATGAGCGTTACCATCTATCACAACCCACGTTGCACGAAGAGCCGACAGACGTTGGCCCGACTTGAAGAGCACGGAATCGAGCCCAAGATCGTGTGGTACTTAGACGAGCCGCTGGACGAAAAGACGATCAAGGGACTGCTCAAGAAGCTGGGACTCAAAGCGGAGCAACTTGTCCGGAAGAAGGATCACAAAGCCCTCGGCTTGGCGCAGCCTGAGGACGAAGCGGGCTGGATTGCCCAGATGGCAGCCAACCCGAAGATCATCGAACGCCCGATCGTCGTCGTTGGCAAAGAGGCCCGACTTGGTCGCCCGCCCGAAAGTGTCGACGAGATTCTACCGTAGCCATTGGCTGCTGCCTCTTCATTGGCAAGGGTTGGGACCTACCGCGGGGAACCGATGCTGGCATCCGCCCCTCAAGTTCCCAATTTCAGTGAGGGGGCAAATCTGGTTATACTGCAAGGGTTTCCGAAACCTTCCCGACGTGTCGATGACCTGCGGGTTCCCCGCGAAGCGGTGCGTCTTTCTCGTTTAGGCCTTCCCCAGAGGGCCTTAGCGAAATAAAGATATCCAGTATGGCGAAATACATTATTCGCTACGGGGCCATGCGCTTTTTGGGCGTGTTCTCGGCCCGAGCAAAGGATGACTATGTCCGCGACGACAAAGTGATCGTCCGCACCAAGCGCGGCTTGGAGGTGGGCGAAGTGCTTTGCGAGGCGACCGATGACGCGGTTCAGCAGTTAAGCGACCCGGCGTTCGGCAGCATCATGCGGCCGATGTCCGAAGAGGACGAGAAGCAAACCCAGCATATGCATGGGGATGTTCAGCGCGAGATCGAAACGGTTCGCCGCGTGATCCGCGAAATGGACCTGCCGATGCAGTTGGTGGATGTCGAGCATTTGTTCGGGGGTGAACGGGTGATCGTTTACTACCTGGCCGAATCGCGTGTCGACTTCCGCGAGCTGGTCAAAGCGTTGGCTTCCGAATTGCAAACGC